TCTGAACATCAAAGTTTTTCCTGAACATCATATTTCCTCCATTTTTGTTTTAGCTGGAAATAAATGCAATTAAAACTGTACAAATGTAAAAAAAGTAATTGTAAAATGGTTGTATAATAATATTAATAACAATACATTTTATTTGTAATTCGCTTTTCTCTGACTCAAGGCGCTACAAGTAAAAAACAATAAAACAACAATAACAAAAATACACTGAATAAGTTGACAAAGTTGATCATCATAGATTATAAGCAATGCTAAACAAATGAGCCTCAAGAAGTTTCTTAAAACGGTTCAGAGAAGCAGCATTTCTGATGCTTATGGCCAATGCATTCCATAGCTTAGGCGCAGAGTATGAGAAAGCCTGACGCCCCATGGTCTTAAATTAACACCGTGGCTGATACAGGGTGAGTCCTGATGTATAATGAAGATGGCGAGCAGAAATGGAAAGAGTCGCCAGGTCACAAATATAATCAGGTGCTAACCTGTGCAGTGCTTTGTAGGTTAAAATCAAAGTCTGAAAATCAATGTGACTTAACAAAGAGTCCATGAAGTTGCTGAAGCACAGGAGTAATTTGATGGCACGAAGATGTATGCGTGTATGTGTGTGTGTAAACCTGTGCAGCAGAATTTTAAGTATACTGTAATCTTTTGAGAAATTGCAGGTAAACCCCCGAAAAGTGAGAATCTTTTTCTAAGATCTAAGGTCTAATGTGAAAATTAAAAAATTGATTGATTGAAATTAATTGCACAAAGTTTTAGACTAAAATTAAATGTAACCAGTAATACTAGGACTACAAAATGAAACAAAAACTAAATGCAATTCAGAAAAATGTAAATGTTCAGTAAAAATTATTTGATGCAACAATAAACTAATTTTCTTCACACATTGAAGATTAAATACATGATTAAAACACTGATCTAATAAGCAGGTGACATATAAAGTAGGGCTGGCCAATTTGGCCCAAAATTTAAATCTTGATTAACTAAACATTTTGACTCTGTTAATGAATGATTATATATTAATTTTATTTTTTGTTTTGCCCTCATATTTCACTGACAAGTTTTGTACAGTAAATATGCTCACATCACATATTACTAGTAAGAGATAGTTGAATGATGGGTGCATTATTGATTTTAAAATACCCTAAAACATACCCTATCTACTACTTACAATTATTTATTGAACATCAACGTTGAACAACTGAAATTAAAACACACATTACTCACAACCTTTTTTTACATTAACCAAAAAACTTTTTTCTTATTAAAAAGTAAAAATAAATTTGCGCTTTTGGAAACAAAATTAATTGGTTTCATTATTTTTCATATTAAAAGTAAAAAATATGTAGTATCTAAATCAAAATAACTAAATTAATAGTTTCTTCATCAAATAACTTGCAATTCCTGTACATAATATTTTATACTGTGCATTTCTAACATCTTTAAACAAATATTTTAATGTAAATAATAACTTTAATGTAATGGACAATATGCCGTCTCAAGGCATCACTGGCGTTTTCGACACATATATATATATGAGCAATATCACACTCGTAGCAGTGCGATATGGCTGTATATCGGCACTGGTGGGAGCCGTGCGTGCCTTAGTGCCCCCACCAGTGCCGATATACAGCCATATCGCACTGCTACGAGTGTGATATTGTGTTTATAAAACAGTTTGACGGCATAATAGTGTATATAAAAACTAAATTAAACATGGAGAGTCTCAAAAACCCTTTTTTATGAGGAACTACTTTCTTCCGCCTTTGATTCAAATCATAAGCTGACAGTTAAACAGCTGAGCAAGCATCTTTTAAACTTTAGATCTGTAGTGTCTGCTTTTTGCTGGTTGTATGTGGAGGGAGTAATACACAAAGGGTAAAGGGGCTTTACGGGTGCTGATATTACTTAAATATATCACGGCTATCAGCCAATCAGATTCAAGAACCAGACAGAACTGTTGTATAAATATAAACACAGACACACACACAACACTAAAACAGTTAAATGTTGCAATATTAAAATAGTTTAAATTTGTTTACTCGTGCAAAAGCAGTGTTTACATTTTATAGCTAAAATTAATTAACTTACTAACGATCAAAGAGAGAACTGGAGGGGTCAGATATAAGTTATTTTGACTTTGACCGTCAGTAAAATAAAAACCTCCTGTTTTACAATGACAATTCTTTTCTAATGCTTTAATTAAATTAGTTAACTATAAATATGTGTGTAGTTGTATACACTGTATTCTAAACGTTTTGTATCTAAATTTTACTATAAACTTAATGTCAGCTACCAGTAATCTCTCCGAAAAGGTAAACGAATCCTCCTGACAGCTACTCGTCACTACAAAGTTTGCATGGGTAATATCAGACATTAAAAACACAAATCTAAAAGAGATTACTTTACAGCGTTTTCGACACATAATTAAACATCCGATCAATTTTCTACCTGTGCTGTGCAGTAAGAGCTGTGGAGAAAGCGCTCACCCGTGGACTGGATCTTGAATTCAAAATAGCTCTTGTTCTGGTGGAGAGGGGCGTTGGCGAGACAGGCTCCAGTTCCACAGATCCGCCTCCCGCTTTTCACGATGACCACATCCGTCCCTGGGAAAAAAGGCCGAGCAAACTCTCATGCCCACACAGCTACAACACAAGGTACGTATTTCATGTTTTCAGAGATTTCAGCAGAAAACGAGACTGAGATGAAAGTCACATCATGGGTTCACTAGATTAAAATAAAATCAAAGCAAACACTGGGATCTGACAGCTGTATGCTAGCATCTAGCATCTGATCCAGAGTAGTTTGGGCTACTTAGCTGATTTGAGAGTGAAATTACATGTATGAAAACATTTTCTTAAAGACCAATAATGGCAGAGCTGTTTATTATTTCGTGTTCAGGTCGTTGTTTTGAGGATATAACGTTAGCACAGTCTGCTAGCGCCGCTTTTCGCTATTACATGTGTGTTCTGTGACCCTGAACATCAGTGGTAGTGGCTCTTACCCATGTGATGCGTGTCTAGCTGAACGGTGGGCATTTCTTTGAGGGGCGCATGACCCGGTCCACCGTCCCCGCAGCAGCCCAAACAACACGTAAACACTGCGGCCATTCTAGCGCCGAGATCACCGGAAGTGCACTTACACGCGTCAGACTGAAGAGCGCACACGCTTCCAGAATAGAGAGGAGCTCATGGAAAAATCATTGCTAGCTGATGCTGATTTTCTCCTGACGCACGCTAAATTCCTCCTCAAGGGGGCGCTAACAGGCTCAGAAAGGCCAGTCTTGCTGTCAAACTATTATATTGGGAAACTTTTTACACACACAAATGTTTAAAACAAGTTGCTTAAGTAATTCTTAACTATTTAAAAAGCATTTATTTCTACAAAATTATTTTTGTACTCACAAATGACTAAAAATGATCTAACAACGAAAAAAAAATCTTAAATCTGGGGTCCCCAATCTCTAGGGCTGGTGTCTCTGCTGAGTTTACCTCCAACTCTAAATGAACACAACTCCCTGGAATTTTCAACTCCAATAGCTTGATTAACATGTTCAGGTGTAGTGTTGGGGGAAGTTCCTTTTAAAAGTAATGCAATATTGAATTGGTTCCAAATTAGTAACTAGTTGCTTTACTTAGTTACTTTTTAGGGTACACAATGTGTTGTTACTTTTAAGTTTCTGTTTCGTTTACTTTCAGAATTTGCAGGGTTTTTTCTCTAATTTCTTTCTTTTTTAAAATAGAGGAGCCCTGCAATTAACAACACACTGTATTAATTTCATTTTCCTTTAAAAACACACACACATAAAAAAAATGAAGGTAGGATATTATCCTCCGAAAACTTCCTGACCCCAGAGACATGCCATATACACAGAATCATAAAAGTTTAAAGTAACATGTTTGCTACTTTTGCACTTTTTGTCTTATTAAAAAGTAAAATCACTGCCCATTCAGATGATCCTCTTTTCCTGTTCTTACATGTGTTCAAAATAATGAGAATTTTCCATCACAGATATGTAAGGCTCTGCCACTTTCATTTTGGACTGTTCCTGCATTCTCCCATAAAGTGCGTGATTCAACATGACTACGTTCATTTTAATTTAGCATTTAATTTTGTCAAAGCAAAATAAACTAAAAGGTAAGCCGCATTACATTTTTTAAATAAGTAACTCAAATATTATTACTTCATTTTGAAAAGTAATGCGTTACTTTACTCGTTACTAGGAACAGTTATATTATTATGTAACTCGCTTTACTTTTAATGGGTTATCCCCAACACTGTTCTGGTGTGTGAGGTTAGTGTTGAGCTAAACTCTGCAGGACACCGACCCTCCAGGAACAAGATAGGTGACCCTTGTCTCGAACATACTAATAATTTACATCACAATGTTCACACAGAAAAGCTTTAGAGTCTAATCATTTTACCATTGGCATTAATTCATTATTTTCTAGCATTCGACGATTCTCAGTGCAATACTGATTACATGTAATCTGGATTAAATGATCACATTCGAAGAAAAATTAAAAAATTTTTAATACTCAGATTGAAATTCTGTATGCATTAAATAATATTTAATGTAGGATTAAGTTCAAACCTGCTTTTGTTTTCATTATTTCCATTATTTCCATTTCATGCTTATTAATGTATATTTTTATGATTTCATTATTAGCTTTTTATTGAATCACAAAGTCCCTGCAGTTCCTCCACAAATCAGTCTATTCAAACTTGTGTTATAAAAGAGTTCTTAAAAGTAGTGAACTGATCAAATACTTGAATAACTGTATTTGGTGTAATGTCATTTGTAAGTATACAATGACTTTTAATGGCAATGAAACTTATACAGTAGCAATAGAAAAACAGATAAACTCGCATTATAACAAGCATGGTATTTTTCATTTACTTTATTATGATTATTCACAGGGGAGTTTTTTTTTTTTTTAAACAGAACTGAGAATAAACGCTATAGCAGTACTTACAGCAACAAATTGCAAAAAAAGTTTTAAACAGAGGAGAAAAATGTCATCACCTCTCAATAAAAATAACAGCATCATTACTGCAGTCTTAAATGTCACGTGATCCTTCAGAAATCAACCTAATATGCTGCGAGTAAGATTATATGTTATTTGGATGATTGGAAAATGTCACATTCATTGCCGTGTGCTTTAAGTTCAAAACTAAGATTTCTTATTAACTGATCAGAAAAGTTTCAGTTAAAAGCAGTGAGATCATATAACACTTCGTGTTGATGAATTCGAGGGATGAAACCGTATGCATTAAAATGCAGTTATATGAACTGATGTGCCATAAAAACAAACATTCAGAAGCACTTATCCTATTTCTGTGACAGATCACTGGGACTCTCGCCCTCTCGTGGCCAATTACGTCATTGCATACGCTTTCATCCCTGATTCGACCAATGAGCGCGGCGCTTCAGAAGCCGTTCTCTTCCTGATGGCATGGAAACAGGGGAAGAAAAATCGAGGTCAAAATATTTTGACACGTGACTCGGTAGCGATTGGTTATCGATGCGTCAAGACCCTGACACATGGCACGGGCATATGCGACCAAAGTGGCGTGATGGAGGACCATCTTTGTGGCAGAAAATACGGACGCGCTTTTTAGTGTCTGCCTGCAAAGCCATGACTAGATCGAAATGAAAAGCGCGTAGTTACTGCACTTGACTGAATGGATGAATTAGGCGTCTATGTGGGTACATGATGGGTAACGCCAGTATTGACGTAATCTGTGGAGAAACGCTGATCTAGGAGAGAGCGCGAGTGCTCCCCCGCAACAACCCCATCCAAGAATGAAGGGATCCTCTGCATTTATTGCTCACAGCACGAAACGTGTGTTCAGCTACCCGAGTCTCCAAATACACTGCGTTACGCGGATATTGCGCGCAATGTGGCAGTGAAACCTTTACATTCAGATGCACTGATCATTAGCTGTTCGTGCGCATTCATTTTAACTGCCTGACCATTACTGCCTTGACCTGAACTAGTTAAAATTTCCCAATTGGAAAGGGCGAATTCTGCACAGCAACAAGAGCCACGATTGCGTTGCACACTGCCTAAGCAGTTAGTGCGCTTCTGGTCCAATTGCTGATGCTTTCCTCCTGCAAAATCTGCCACAACCGTAGTAATACCTTGACAACCGAACCCAGGCTTACAGAGAAACATTTTTGACAACTCGACGACGGAGATATCAAATCAATAGCTTGAAGTTTGTTGGACAGGTCATCGGATATTCCTGCGCGAAAGTTCTCACGCGGGCAATTAAGAATGAAGTACTGGTGCAGTCAGGAGTCTTCATCTGCAGGCAATCTGAACTAGTTCATATTTGGTTAACCAGTCGTGCCTCACCACACAATCGCTTGAAATGCAGTGGAAAATGCGATGCACATCATATTGATAAAAATTGCTACATTTATACAGCCTATTTGGTTTAATTTCAGTGTAGCGTCGTAACGCGTTATCGCAATATAAAAGCTTTTTTCGAGGCAAAATAAAATAATTGTATGCTTATGATGTGCAAAACGACACAGGGCAGCGCTGAGTGCTCTCGACTTCTCACTCGGTGTGAGATGCACGAGAAGGAAGCTTGCCGAGATGATGAGAGTTGTATTGATGTGCCATGCCCCCGACAAGCTTTCATATCAATATCTTTTTCCACTTTAGGACAGGATGGAGCTTTTGGAGGAGGACCTCACGTGCCCAATCTGCTGCTGTCTGTTCGAGGACCCGCGCGTTCTGCCCTGCTCTCACAGCTTCTGCAAGAAGTGTCTGGAGGGTATCCTGGACGGTAACCGGAGCCCTACATGGAGACCACCGTTCAAATGTCCGACCTGTCGAAAGGAGACCGTCCACAACGGCATCGCGAGCCTGCAAGTCAATTATTCCCTACGCGGCATCGTGGAGAAGTACAACAGGATTCGAGTGATGCCGAGGATGTCTCAGTGCAGAGTTCACAGCGGGCAGCCGCTCAACATCTTCTGCGCTACAGATCTGAAGCTCATCTGTGGCTTTTGCGCCACGACAGGTGATCATAAAGGACACAAGTTTTGCGCACTGGAGGAGGCGTACGAACGGGAGAAGCTCGCGTTTGAGGAGTTGTTTCGCGTCGTGGAGGGCTGGAAGGGCGCGGAAGTTCATTCGTGCCTGGAATCGTTAGAGAGTGCAAAGAAGAAAGCGCTGGAGAGGGTCTCGCGGGACGCGGATCGAGTCTCCGAATACTTTGACAAACTTCTGCGCACGCTGGAGCACAAACGGAGCGAAATCCTTTCGGATTTGGAAACTTTGAAGCTGGCAGTCATGCAGACCTTTGACCCCGAGATCAACCGGCTGCGCTCAGCGCTCGAGGAGCAGCGGCGCGCGCTCAACATCGCCGAATCTTTCCGTTCGCTCTCGGATCCGCTCACTTTCCTCCAGCAGATGCAGGACTTCAGAGAAAAGTTGCGCGTCATTCAAGGAACACCACTGCCGTCACGCACTGACATGGATGTGAGTTTGTCTGCCCTGCAGAGCTTTGATGTGAAGGAATGGGACCGGGTTCGCCTTGGACAGGTAGACAAACTTTGCGCCCCCTACGAGAGCAGCGCGTACCTGTCATCTCTGCCCCCGGCTGCCGCTCCGCGGTTCACCCGTGTGATGTGGAGAGTTGTTCTGGTTGTGTGTGCGTGTCTACCCGCGCTAAACTTTCTTCCGTCGGACTGTCTCGCTCTGAGCTTCCAGGATAAAGTGGTTGCACTCGGCGGGTTTTCTTTGCCCAGTCCCGGAGAGATTGTGCGCTGGCTCGGGTTCTGCTGGAAAGAAGCGGCCTCGATTTGCACACTACTGACCGAGCTGTGTCGGAACTGTATGTTGGACCTGATAAACACAACATCAGATTTCATCAGCTGATTTTGTAACTCCATTCATTAGGTACTTTTTAAAAACAAATGTAGCTACTATAATGTGCCAACCTTGAATATCCTGTCGATTTTTGTAGCATTGGGAATTTTAGTTTCTATTTTTAAATGTGTAACAATACGTGGGCTATTAAATTGCACATTTTCTGTTGCCATTAATTACAAAAAGTAGATGGATGGTCTAATAATGGGGGAACATTCCCATAACTTAATAAAATGTATTGTTACAAAACTAGATGATCTCCGCAATTTTCCCTACATCATTTTTAATTATTATATTTTTGATCATTGCAGTTAAGAAAATACGACTGTTAAGTAAAATTAACTTAAACAATTAAATTAACACGAACACTGGTTCATGTTGTGGATCATAACTTTTATCTACCTTTGAGCGAGTTATCAGCATGCTCAAGGTTAAACGTTACGTAACACAATGTCAGACTCACAACAGGACAGTGAATTCAGTCCTTCAGAGTCACTTAATTCTCAATTAAATTTATACTAAGAACGAACTTTCATTCCGCTATAGGTTTGTTTCGTCGTACAATATTAATGTTCCGTACCTACTTTTGTGTCGGCACAAATAATTTCAAAACTCTAATATAGACTAGTGAAATGCTTCCAGAACATCATCAACTGAATTGATTCGTGAGAGCATTTTATATTTCATATTCTGAGTAATAAACAGAGCTCAAAATGTTTAGCACCTGATATCTACCTAAAGCCATGACTGTTAAAAGAGACTAAAAAAGGTGAAGGGATCCCCTTTTTTCCTCAGTGTTTAAACAGGAATCCTGAGAGATTCTCGGACGACTCTGTTCTACTATGACGTCACCGCCGGAGCCCTGCGCGCGTCATCGAACATATATTTAGCCGACTGTTGCCAGGCGAATTGAGGATGAAAAGTGAAATTACCTACGTTACCATAATTTACAAAAAAAAACCTTACGTAACTTAAAATAAATTTAATAACAGTAAATGTATTAATAGGCTAAATAAATTTATTTCAAAAACCTGCGGAATGCATTGCCGACAAATAGGAAGCTTACTCTGAAATGGCGCCATGTTATGTAATTCCAGTTCTTCGATTTTTATTATTTTAAACAAGTGTAACATTGCATCTTTCTATTAATGACACCACCTTGACCATCACGTATCTGCTTTGCACCTCTAATTTATTACACCACTAACAATGTTGGTCTAAGTGGAGAAAAGGCAGTCTTGCAGAACCCATGTGCATTATTTTTTTCATTTACCCGTCTATTGCCTTTGTATTATGTTTTTAATGTTGACCAACTGTTGTCAATAATTGGCTGTCAATAATGATCTTTTGATGAATCTGTGCACTTACATGTTTTCCTTTAAAAAAAACTGTCATAAGGACTGAACGACTCTAATAAATTGTTACATCATATATGTAAATGCATAAGTTCCAGCATTATGCTTCATTATTTTCTGGTGTAGTGTCAAATGAAATATCTGGCATATGTCTACAAGGACATAGGCTACTTGAAGCCGTAGACATATTTAGTTTTCGAAGTAACAAAATAGTACATTTCATATTTTGCCATAAAGGCCAGACACTAAGACAAAAACAAGTAATAGCCTATAAATCCGGCTCCGTTTAAAAAGTACTGAACACACCATGTACACGAATTAATGTTCGTGTATGTGGTGTGTATGAACAGTTTAGATTTTAACTATCAGCCGGATAACTTAACCGCTTCACACGGTGGAACATGAAAAGCAAGAAGACTTGCTTGTGAAATTACACCAAATTGGAAATGATCGACATTTAGGTTATATATTGCAGATGTTTAAAAAGTCCAACTTTTCCAAACTGTGTGGATATCAACGCAATTTAAATATAATAATAACAATAATAAAAGTAGTTTTTATTTAAATTTACCGTCAAATATAGCTACATTTTATAAGGCACTCGATATTGGTAATCGGGAATGGAGAATTAGGTCTTACAACGTGGTCTAGAGAATAACTAACAAAATAAAAACATAACGTGACGAACAGCATATGCATGCAAGGAAAAATTCGTGGCTGTAAAATATAAATGTTATTTATTTATTTAGACCAATCTAATTAATCCCGACTTAAACACACAGTGGAAAAAATACTTTCCTTTTCTCTTAGTACTATCAAAAATAGACTATGTTGATAATTTACAATTACGGCAGACAAAATTAAAATTGATTTAAAGCTAAAAATAAGTAAATACATTTTTAAAGTTATTTTTCTCGAGCGAAATAATAGAGTCGAATATTGTTTTCTTACGATTATGCCAAGAACATTTTGTAATCGTTTTATAATAGCATAAAATAAGGGGGGAAATGATTCGCAAAAAATATATATATTTGTAATCCCGTCACTTATGATTAGGTTAAAAAAAGCCCCAAAATTAATAAATGAAATACAACCAATGTTCTCAGTTCTAAAAGGCTACCAAATAATGCATCTTAAAATATTTTTTCCATTAAATTATAAAAATGTGCATATTATGTCACATAGCCAAATAGATTAAAATCAGATGCATGAGGATGTGTGCTTTTTCTCCATCACAGCTTCACTGACCACCTCTAAAGTATCAAATAACGAAAATGAAGCGTCAGAAGATTAAACCGACATGTGTCCTGATATGAGTTGAAGGCAACAACGGTTTAAGTGCTGGCCAACTAAACAAAAATATAAAACGTAATTTCTTTATTGCCAAGGACACTTGATGTGATAAAAATCACAAACACCATTAAAGACCTAAAAGAAAATTGAATCGGCCTTCCCAAAGCACGCATTATTGCGACAACGTTTTTTTTTTTTTTTTACAAAACTCCTCAAAGTTATCCTAAATACTTTTGACCCCGGTAAATTAAATTAATCCTAAAATATAACCCATTTTCTCCAAATATCCAAAAATTTCTCCAAATACAATAAAGCAAGAACAAATATTTCATGGTTACATATACGCCATGATTTAGTCTGCTTATAACCAGGGTCTTTCATAAAATGGCGGCGGTTATTTCTTGTTATTTTAGGTTTTGCATTGCGCAACTTATTTTTTAACAATGCGATATTAAATCAAACTGAAAATCATTAGGTCTACTTTATAAGCACAGTCACGCAATGTTACATAAGCAACATTTTGTACAATGACATGAGTTTCACGACTGCTGGGCAATGTGAGAAATAATCTTTCACATCAGAACTCGCTGGGTGATATGCGTTTGGCATAATGGTATAGGACACGCATGCGCCGATTGAGTACCTCTCCAACACGAAATCGGAGACATTTGTCTCCTAAATAAAATGACATTCATTGTAACCCCCTAAAATAATCTACATTCAAAAACTTGACCACTAGTTAATTATTATCGAGAGAAAAAAATTACACTTGGAAGTCAGTTTTATGGGCTCTGTGAAGTTGCAACTCACCATAAAAAGAATATATAAGTAAGCGCAAGTCGATGGGGAATTATCAACCAGAAAAATAAAACATTTCTTTAAAACATAGTAAAGCAGAAAATACCAAGACAAAATTGTATGTGACAAGTTGTGTCCGGCAGAAATTTAAAACAATGTTAAAAAGCAAGCTATAGGTTAAACTGAGCAAAATAAGACAGGTCAGTTAGTTAGCTCATTTCAGTTTTTTTTATTTGCATTAACAAAAACAAGCAACAGCACGTTTAGGAAAACCATTAAGCATTAATAATTCAGGTTAAACATCTCAGAAAACACACACACACACACACGCTTAATAATAATAATTAAAAAAAATCACATCCCAAGCAAAACTATACTCCAACTCTCATTACCTTTGACCACTGAGTTTGTTGTCCTCCTGACTTCCCTATGTTGGATTAAGGAGTCCATTTAAGTAGCAGTGAATCAGTCTCTACCTGCACCGACTAGGCCCTGGTAGCTGTGATAAATATAAAAAAAGGATGACGTGCATGTGCTGCTTGGTGACTTCTTGCTTCAGCAGCACGAGCAATATTGGAGGCATTGGCCAAGGAGTAACTCCAATATTTACATGCTGCTAAAGCAAGACAACACACGCACACACACACAACCTCTCTCACTTGTCGTTCTCTCAACTGCGTAGGTCCCAGGAATTGATGCTGCAGCACATCATGGCCTGCATCTCTGTATCACCACAAACCATTCTGTGCTGCTACACCATCACCTAGAGAGCCTCGGCTACATGACCGAGCACCGGCAGAACCACAGAGCCAGTGACTCCGTCCTCTCCTCCTTTCTCTCTCTCTTTCTCTCAGCAGGGCTTCAGGCATTCCAGGACTCTATCTGAAACACAGAGAGGAGGACGCTAGAGTGAGAACATGCACACAGCAGCTGGACGTGATGCTGTCAGTTCACAGAAAATTACTTTACAGGCTTCTGCTGACATTTACTGCGATAATGTCTATACAAATAAATAAATATATATATATATATATATATATATATATATATATATATATATATATATATATATATATTTATTAGGGATGCATGATATAGGAAAAAAATGTACATTGCAATATTTTGATTTACTGCAAATTATACTGTGATATTTCACCAGGTAAATCAACCTATAATTTTAGATCGATTGGGATGATTTGGAAGAGGAGTGCACATGCATTAACTATAATAAACAAATTACTAGCAGAGACACAAATGAATGAGTTTAACAGTATACAGGTACAGAAGCTGTAAGTTCTTCACTTTGTAAATAATTAAATACAAATAAAGATACAAACGTAACAATTCCTTGTGCCCAATTGCTTTAAACATTCTTAAAATGTTTAATCAGGCCTTAAAAACACAAGCAATTGATAAATGTTCACTTTATTATGGTTAAACTCAAATCACTGTAAAAATTCTAATGTGTTCTGAGCTGTTGTACTTGCTCAACTAATCCTGACTCCACATTGCTCGTCCTGTGATGTGATTGTTGCATATTCACACATTGCAATATCGATGCTAAAACAATATATTGTACAGCCCTAATTTATGTATAAAATATATATATATATATATATATTTTTTTTTTTTTCGAATTTATATACAAATACAGCAGTATGTAGGACCATATGTTAGATTTTTTAGCAAAGTATGGCTTTTCATATCTGTGACCCTGGATCACAAAACCAGTTTTATGATGCACAGGTCTATTTTGCCAATAGGTAAAAATACATAGAATGGGTCAAAATTGAAGATTTAAAAAAAAAAAGCCAAACATTATTAAAATAGTAAAAAAAAAATTTATGTAAATATATTCAAACTTAATTTTTGATTAATAATGTTAATAATGTAATAATTGATAAACAATTAATTAAAACCACTTTAAAATGTGATTCTTAATATTTTTGTTTCTTCGAACCCTCAGATTCCAGATATTTAAATAGTTGCATCTGGGACAAATATTGACTTGCCCTAACAAACCATAAATCAATAAAAAGATTATTTATTCATCTTTCATCTGACGTAGAAATCTCAACTTCAATAAACTGACACTTATGGCTTGTTTTGTGGTCCAGAGTCACATTTTTGCATGCTGTTGTTCATTTAGAAATGTACTTAAGCAAGCATGCTTACAAAATGATAGTGTGTAAATCAGATATTTCATTAGAAGATCTGATATTAATTATCTTAGCCAGCAACGTATTTCCTGATACGTCCAAAAAGGTGACATGCTAACAATTTAATAAGACTGAAGAGAGAATATTAAATAATGCATTGATATTACAGTATTATACGCTTAATTCACATAAAAAGTTACATTTTTATTATGCAACCATAATGTATACCATGAACATTTAACTGAGCTCTTTAAAAACTGCACATTCGGTATACAAATGAAGAGCAACAAATAAAAATGAACTTCTTTAATATTATGAATATAGAAAATATATTGTATAAGAGAAGTGTCATTTAACATGTCAGTTGTTGATTGATGCATTATTCCATATCAATGTGTTATTACACCCTATTAGATACATGCTAATTGTAAACTGTTCACACATAAATGCACACTGAATTATGACACTTTACAAGTTCAAATGTCTGTTATGAGATGATTAAGAGTATTTAAAACATTCATGATTCCCAGTGGGTTCTGTGTTGCTGTTGTTCCAGCATATTTACATTTGGCGCACGGCACATGACTGATACAATAAAATAACACTAATAATACAATAAGAAATATTTACACTATTATAATTTTTCTAAACATTGCTTTTGGCTGTACATTATTTTTTCTATTCTGATTTTTTACAGGATCAGAATTTATGGACATCACGGCAAACACAGATTTCAACTTTCCTGCACTGCACGAAAAGCCGGTCCTCAAAAATAATGGTATTAAAAGGAAAGTTACTAGCAATATTGACATCTACACCAGACTGAAATAATCCTCCAATATGGTGATTCAGCACTGACAACATTCTGCCTCTTACTCATCTACATCACCAGGAACCAAATCAACCGTCAGCTTCCCAAAGTACCGTATCCCCGACAGGAGACATCTCTTATCCATGTTATGCTTTCTTAGATCTTCCGTACAGCTATAAAAAAATCTGATAAACTTTTAGTATTTGCTTCAAGTTCGAAAAGCTGAAAGGAGACATCTGAATTGAAAATAAAAAGTACTCATCGTAAATACACATTAACCACAAATTATTTTTTATCTGACACCAGATTTCTAAACACAAATTTTGCTAAAAATAATCACTAAAAACTTCTGTAATGAAATTCTATTTTCGTTATAAATAAGAGAATTGCAGTGCTAACTATTAGGTTAAATACTAAATTAAGTTAACTAGGTTAAAATGAAATTAAAATACGACTTGCATATTAGGTTTCTAGCATCTGTTTATCATGATAATTGAGGTGTAACATTGACACCAAGGTTACGACCTAACTAACATAACTGTGGAATTCAGGTCAATGATGCAACGTTGATTTACAGCCAAAGAAATCCATTCTGATTATGCCACATAAGTTATATACTGTTTAACTCACTCAAAAAAAACCAGTTAATTTTTTTTCAACCAAGAAATTTATGTGACTTCAGAGATTGACAGGAAGACAACTAGACTTGTTCTCACACACTACAAACAATACTAAAGTAAAAACCAATGGCCTGAACCTGATATTGACATCAAACTTTAAACTACTTCTAAACCAGAGTTGCCATCTGTTCCCCCTCCCACATTTACTCACATCTGATGTGTGTGCTAGTTCAAGAATTACAAATAAAACCACTACAGAAATTACTATCAACTTACACTTTCACAGAAGCAAGTGCCAACCTAAACCGCTTGAGAAGAGTGAATTCAATACTATGAAAGTAATCTTTATTTATTTTTCTCTTTTCATTTGTATAGACTTTGTATGTGTAAACAGCTAGTATCTCAATCTAAAGTGGACATCTCATCGCTTGAAGGGGATTTTAAAGCTTTAATACCATGATGGTTTGCCAGATGTCAAATGCTGAAAGTGTCATTTACTGGGTACATATAGCACCTGAACTGCTTATCCACCATCTAAATGCGCTTTAGCTTCTCTTTTAAAATGATTAACAAATTTAAAAAATCAAAATATATAGAGATGTCATTACCTTGGATTGCTTTCTAGTTTCTGACATCCCAACCAAGCCATTCCTAAAAAAAACAAAGCAGCAAGATGTCAAAAAACACATTACACTCATAGCTGCAGGTTCAATAAGTTAATCTGATTTAATAGAACATCTAAACTTAAAAAACAGACAAATATAGAGTATAAAAACTAATTACTAAAAAATAAACCTGATACACTTTTAGTTTATGTGTGTGTTTTTTAGAAAAATAAATGTGACTGTGTGTCTTTTAACATCACTGCAGTGTGTGGTGTAAAATACTGGTTTTACGCGTTTATGTGTGTCAGTTACATCGAAAATACACCCATAAAAATACATTCGCGTTAAAGCTACAATGATCAGAATTATTACTAGCTTATAAAGACAAAATTATAAGAGTCTACATCCAATACCTCATTGTAAGCTTCTCTCAAAAGCTCTGAGACTTTTTATATACATAAAAATGAAATGATCCATGCAGAGATGCACGTGTAGCACAAAAACAGACTGATCGAGAATTTTTTTTGCCCCTCCTTTCACCAACTCCCCACGTCTTTTTTCCCCCCCTGTCTGTCTTGCACACACACACATACACACACACAGCAAACCCTTTGCTAAGATTTTATAAATGAGTAACTTCTAAAAGAGCAGATGAATTTTTATAATGGAGGAAAAAATAATATTCACAAAAAAAGTTATCAGGAAACGATCAGTGCTGAAACAGAGACATGAAAAACAAACCAGAATGACAGTAATGGAGCAGGTTAAAACGAATAGCCTGTTTAGACAACTTTAACTACATACATTTAAATAAAAATATTTATAAAAGAAATGAATTCATTTTTTAAATTGTTGCCATATAAAGGACATTAACATTTTTCAACCCTATGGTGTGTGCAATTGGCCAAGCCTCCATTTTGATGTTTAATCTTGTGCGCTAGCAACATCGTAATCCCACAAGATATGTGCACATTATGCGCACCATATAACACGATAATTTTGAATTGTGCCGTAATTATATAATTTGATTATACATAAAGCAGCACATCAGCTTTTTGATAACCTAGAAAGTGGTCATGTGCATGTGTGTGTGTGTGTGAGTGAGTGAGGGCCGGCAGAGTTCCTGAACGAGTGTGTGTGAGTGAGAGGAGGTGTGAATGAATGTTTAACATTTAACCTCTCTCTGCTTGTATTTTACTGAGCTCACATGACCTCAGGGTCAAAGGGTATCACCTTCCACTCCTCCATCAACATCAGCATGTGACACACTCGCACCCTCCGACAGGCTCGGCCTAATGCAGGAAACCCTCCCATGTAATTATTCAGGCAGTTCAGTGATCAAAAGAAAATTTAGCAAGGTTTGTTTTGCAAGTGAAACTTAAAGAGAATTTAAATAGGATTCAAAAAACTTTGTAAGAATAAAATAAATCAATAAAAGCAAATACTTTTATTTTTTCTAAAAAGTGAAAATTAAAAACTATACTCTTTTTACAATTTTTAAAGGTGTAGTGTAGCTACACTTTTGCCCTTATGATTATGAGAAGTGTGTTTGTCTCTGCCAAACACATTTTATGCCATAAAAA